TCTCTGCTGCCTATTTGTCAACCATGCCTCTATCAGGAAAAAATTTCTCCTCCTATTCCATGTGCTTTAATTTTCCTCAATAGTCTCTGATGTGGGACCCTGTCAAAAGCCTTACTGAAGTCCATATACACAATATCATATTCGTTACCATGATCTACCTCCCCAAATACCTTAGTGAAAAAAGTTAATAAATTCGTAAGGCAGGAACGTCCTTTGTTAAACCATGCTGAGATTCGTTGATTAATTTATGCTTTTCAAGGTGGCTACGAACTGCCTCGGCAATTATTGATTCCATAAATTTTCCCACTATGGAGGTTAGGCTTATTGGTCTATAGTTCGAAGCTAAGGACCTTTTCACCTGTTTTGAAAATAGGTATCACATTTGCCATTTTCCACTTATCTGGCACCATGCCAGTTTGTAGTGATATTTGAAAAGATTAGCCAAAGGTGTGCTAAGCTCCTCTTTACATTCCTTTAGAACCCCTTTCATACGTTCATTTAGGGCCCGGGGATTTGTTAGGTTTTAATTTATCTATTTGCCTAAGGACCATGTCACTTGTGACCCTAATAGTGCCCCAGTTTATTATTTGTCCTGTTCTACATAATTTATCATTACTGGAATATCACTGGTATCCTCCTGTGTAAAAACTGAGAGGAAGTATGTGTTAAAAATTCTACACATTTCCTTATCACTGTCAGTGAGCTGACCCGAGGAACTTTTGAGTGGGCCTATCTTGTCCCTGATCTTACTTCTGTATACCTGAAAGAATCCTTTTGGGTTAGTCTTCGTTCTCTTGCAACTTTAACCTCATAATCTCTTTTTGCTTTTCTAATTCCCTTTTTTATTTCTCTCTTTAACTGAATATATCGATTTCTTAATTGCCCCTCTCCTCTTTTGATTTGCCTATATATGCCTCTCTTTTGACCAATCAGATATTTTAATCTATTGTTCATCCATTTAGGATCATTTTTGTTTGATCTGATTTCCCTATTTGGAACATAATTTGACTGAGCAGCTAGAACTATGCCCTGGAAAGCATCATATTTGGCAACCATCACCACCTACCCGACCCCTAGTCAGGTCATTCCAGTTCAGCCCACCTAAGTAATTTTTCAGTCCTATGAAATCAGCCAAGCGAAAGTCAGGGACGGAGACTTGATTGCCATTATTAGGGGAATTCCATGATATTGTTAAAACTGGGGTGATTTGTGATCACTCTCCCCAAGCTCATCATTAACCTCAAGATTATTAATTAGTGTTTCCCTACTGGCAAGAACCAAGTCAAGGAGGTTATTTCCCCTAGTTGGCTCTGTCACAAACTGTTTTAAAAAACAATCCTGGATCGTATCAAGAAAGTCACCCGACTCTAAATTTCCTGTCAAATTGCTCCAGTCAATCTGTCTATAGTTGAAATCTCCCATTTAGCACAACATTTTCGTATGTAGATGCCTTACGAATTTCGTCCCCTAGAAGTTTACTGCACTCCCTATCAAGATTTGGGGCCCTGTAAATCACACCCAAAATTAGTTTTTCTCGGCCCTCGAGAAGCTGTAACCAAACAGATTCAGTGGCTGACGCTTCTAATTTAATATCTTGTCTAACACAACAATTTAAATTGTCTCTGACATACATCGCTACTCCACCACCTTTCCTGTTGACCCTGTCAGTGTGGAATAATTTATAGCCTTGTATGTGACATTCAGATGGCATCTCTCTATCTTTCAGATTGAGCCAGGTCTCTGTTATAGCAATAATATCTATGTTTCCTGCACTTGCAATTAATCTTAGCTCATCTATCTTATTTCTAACACTCCTGCTATTAGTATAGAAAAACCTTAAGGGAGCTAGTCCCTTGCTGCCCTCTGCTGTCCCCTTTGTTTTCTGACCTGTTCTATGTCTTTATTTATAACTTCATGCTGAATGCCTTTTAACATTTACTGTTTCCAACCCTAGTTTTTGCAACCTGCTTGTTTCCCACACACACCCATACTCTATCTTCCATCAGTTTAAAATCATAGGCATTTCACCAATGGCCTTCTCAATCGAGTCTGCAAGTGCTACCACCCAGCCCCAGAGAGATGAACCCCATCCTTGCATACAATCATGTTTCCCAAATAAAAGTTGTTCCAGTTGTCAATGAATGGGATGCAAGTTCCTTGCAGTATCTGTCTAGCCAGCAATTTACACCAATTGCCCTAGACAACCATTCATTTCCTACTTCCCTTCTAGGCAAGTGCTACATATGATTGGGATCCCTCCCTTAGACTTAATGAAATCTATAGCTGACCTGTACTTATCTAGCAGCTCTTCTCTCCTACCCTTCCCAATATCATTTCCACCAGCACTGAGACAGATAATGGGCTTGTTCCCATTACCTGACATGATATTATCCAGCCTGTTGACAATGTCCCCAACACCAGCTCCAGGGAAGCACACTCTATCTCTCATCTTCTTATTCCTATTACAAAAAGCACGGTCAACATATCTTACCTGAGAGTCACCAACCACAAGAATGCGCTTACCTTCATTAGCAGGGGCAGTAGTACCCTTACCTTCACTGGCCACTGAAGTACATTCATCCTGGAGAACAGAGAAGCGATTTCCTACCTTCAGATCTTCACTCTTAACTTTCCTTACTCTGATGCGCCTCCCATTACTGTGAACAACTCGCCACTTGTAGCAGGTGCTGGGCTGCACCTCACTGCTGGTACCCGTTGCTACCTCCCCACCTACAGCCTCCTCACAGTGAGAGACAGACTGCACCTCACTGCTAGAAGCCTCATTCCCCACATCTCCAACCACCTCACACTCTCTCCCAGGCCCATTGAGGTGGACCTTCAGCCTCCTAATCTCCTCCTGGAGAAGCAAGACCTCCTCCTTCAACTCTCCAAACTCAGTTTTTAAAACACTGCAGAAGCAAGCCATGCTTTGTAACCGTCCACGCGTATAAGAGAAATTTTTAGAAAGGACTTAATTTTAAATGAGTTCTTGCTAATTGACCAGTTTTACATATTCGGCACGACATTATATATATATATATATATATATATATATATATATATATATATATATATATATATATATATATATATATATATATATATGTGTGTGTGTGTGTGTGTGTGTGTGTGTGTGTGTGTGTGTGTGTGTGTGTGTGTGTGTTTGTGTGTACTCACCTAATTGTACTCACCTAATTGTGGTTGCAGGGGTCGAGACTCAGCTTCTGGCCCCGCCTCTTCACTGATCGCTACTGGGTCCTCTCTCTGCTTCCTGAGCTTTGTCATACCTCTTCTTAAAACTATGTGTGGTTCCTGCCTCCACTACTTCACTTGCCAGGCTATTCCACTTGCTGACAACTCTATGACTGAAGAAATACTTCCTAACGTCCCTGTGACTCGTCTGAGTCTTCAGCTTCCAGTTGTGACCCCTGGTCCCTGTGTCCCCTCTCTGGAACATCCTATCTCTGTCCACCTTGTCTATTCCCCGCAGTATCTTGTATGTCGTTATCATGTCTCCCCTGACCCTTCTGTCCTCCAGTGTCGTCAGTCCGATTTCCCTTAACCTTCCCTCGTACGACATTCCCTAGAGCTCTGGGACTAGCCTTGTTGCAAACCTTTGTACTTTCTCTAACTTCTTGACGTGCTTGACAAGGTGTGGGTTCCAGACTGGTGCTGCATACTCCAGTATGGGCCTAGCATACACAGTGTACAGTGTCTTGAACGATTCCTTATTAAGGTATCGGAACGCTATTCTCAGGTTTGCCAGGCGCCCGTATGCTGCAGCAGTTATTTGGTTGATGTGTGCCTCCGGTGATGTGCTCGGTGTTATGGTCACCCCAAGGTCTTTCTCCCTGAGTGAGGTCTGTAGTCTTTGTCCACCTAGCCTATACTCTGTCTGCGGTCTTCTTTGCCCATTCCCAATCTTCATGACTTTGCATTTGGCTGGATTGATTTCGAGAAGCCAGTTACTGGACCACATGTCCAGCCTGTCCAGGTCTCTTTGCAGTCCTGCCTCATCCTCGTCCGATTTAATTCTTCTCATCAACTTCACGTCATCTGCGAACAGGGACACTTCAGAGTCTATTCCTTCCATCATGTCGTTCACATATATCAAAAATAGCACTGGTCCTAGAACTGACCCTTGTGGGACCCCGCTCGTAACCGGCGCCCACTGTGATACCTCTTCACGTACCATGACTCGTTGCTGCCTCCCTGTCAGGTATTCCCTTATCCATTGCAGTGCCCTCCCTTTTACGTGCGCCTGATCCTCCAGCTTCTGCACTAATCTCTTGTGGGGAACTGTGTCAAAGGCCTTCCTGCAGTCTAGGAAAACGCAATCTACCCACCCCTCTCTCTCTAGTGTCTTACTTCTGTTACCTTGTCATAAAACTCCAGGAGGTTTGTGATACAAGATTTGCCTTCCATGTGTTTGTGTGTGTGTGTATCGTGCCGAATAGGCAGAACTTGCGATCTTGGCTTAAATAGCAACGCTCATCTTGCCATATAGGACAAGCGAAAATTTGTGTATGCAATAATTTCGCCAAAATCATTCTGTAGACCAATGGTTCAGAGAACCGACAAGTTGATAAATTAGACACTTGTGCAACTCTTGGGTATCTCAATAAAGATACCCAAGAGTTGCACATGTGTCTAATTTATCAAAATCATTCTGGACCAACGAATAAAATATATTTCACTGTGTTTTAGTATTAAATTATTGTAAACAAATCTAAAATATATTTAGTTGGGTTAGGCTAAAATAAATTGCTCTTGTTATAATAAGGTTAGGTAAGTTGTCTAAGATTCTTTTGGTGCAAAATTATAAATTTTTACATTAACATTAATTAAAAAAATATATCTTTAAACGTATAAGAGAAATTTTTAGAAAGAACTTAATATAAATATATATATATATATATATATATATATATATATATATATATATATATATATATATATATATATATATATATATATAAGCTAATTTGCAAGTTTCTTACCTTTATAGATCTGTTGGGACTCCCGACGACCTTATCCTTACGGGCGAGGGCGTAGGTGTGGGCGATGGCGACCCAGAGTAGCAGCCGGAGGAGCTGCCTGATGACCCGAACGAACAACTGGAGGAGGCACAAGATGGCGTTGGCGAAGGAGAGCACCTTGCCGGGGCAGAGGCTGGTAGCGTGATTTTCCTGACTGTGACTGTGGGTGCGGTCGACGTCACGTGACTGTTTAAGACGATATTGTGCTCCGAGTAACTGTCCCCTCTGGTCATTAAAATATTTACTTTGTTTCCCCTCTCGTTGAATGCCGTTTTCTTCCAGCTTGATTTCCCTTTGTTTTCTTTATTGAGTGTTTGTGGGTAAACTACTTTATTTGTGTCATAGATGATTTGGGGTACTGGCTTAGTAATGTTTTCTTGGTGATCAGACGAGATATATTTTGATGGCTTTTGAATACACGCAGAGCTGAGAAGAGCGCGATAGTATGGGTTATGTGACGTGGCGTAGGCGGGGTTTTGCAAGGTGTATTGTGTAGGGTGTGGCGAGTTTCGAAGAGCAGGGTGTTGCTTGATAGTGTCTGACAGTTGTGCTATGGAGGCACGGTGGAAGTGAGTGGAGGGCTTCATGGTAGTTTGGGTGGAGGGTTGTGAGGTGTTATTGCTGGAGAGTTGTGAAGTGAAGTGTCTTGAGGGTTGTAGGGCATTGTGAGAGGAGAGGTGTGGAGTGGTGTTCACTGAGGGTTGCGGGGTGGTGGAGGGGTGTGAGGTGGTGTAGATGGTGGATCTTGACGATTGTGAGGTGTTGACAGCCTGGGGCTCAGACATGCTGTAGCTGAATTGTTGTGTGGTAGGACAGAAGGAGTCTGGAAGGGTGTGAGTGGATTGGTGCCGCATATTGTGCTGTGAGGTGTTGTGTAGGCTGGGGGTGTGAGGAGTGAAGCGGGGTGAAGTGTGAGGGGTGGAGGGCTGCGAGGCGTGAGGAGTGGAGGGCTCTGAGGCGTGAGGAGTGGAGGGCTCTGAGGCGTGAGGAGTGGAGGGCTCTGAGGCGTGAGGGGTGGAGGATTGTGAGGTGTGAGGGGTGGAGGACTGTGAGGTTGACGGTGATGTCTGCTGCGACAGTGATAAGCGTGTGCGGGGTACAGGAACTGGTGCCCTGGCAAAAGTCTGTCTCTGTTTATGTGAAGGAGTGTGTACAAGTGAGGGAGAGTGTGTGGGTGAAGGATTGTGTACAAGTGATGAGGGAGAATGTGTGGGTGAAAAAGTGTGTACAGGTGAGGGAGAGTGAGTGAGTGAAGGAATGTGTACAGGTGAGAGTGTGTGTGTGGGTGAAGGAGAGAGTGGGGGTGCTTCTGTGAATGAGGGAGTGTGTGTAGGCTTATGAGTGTGAGTGGGTGATGCAGTTTGTGTTGATGAGATAGTGCGTGTGGGTGAGAAGGTACGTGTGGGCGCTTGTGTGGGCGCTTGTGTGGGCGCTTGTGTGGGTGAAGGAGTGTGTGGAGGAGAGGGAGTACATGCAGCGGGTACTTGCGTATAGATGGGTGAAGGAGAGAGTGTTGGTACTTGCGTTTGTGTTGGAGTAAACTCTAAATAACCTGGACGTGATACCGTCAGTAGTTTCTGATCGTCTGGTTGTGGTGAGGAAGACAGTTCTTCATGAGGGTGACCCTGGTATGACTGGCCCCGCGAGAGCTGGGAATGGTGAGATTGTGAGCTGGCAACTGGACCAGACTGTGTCGACGCTGGTACCGACTGGACCGAATGATAAAGATTGCTCTCACGTGACTGAAGCACAGATGGCTCAGGTGTGCTCAACGTGGAGACGCGAACTGCAGAGGAGGAACGTGGACGCACAGAGAGTTTTACAGGTGGGGTGTGAAGACTGTGGGCGGTGGTTTGAACTAGATGTCCCACTACATTCGCCTTGAGGTTAACATCTCCATTGACGATAGGTTCCTTACAGTTTTCAGACCTCACTGTGTAATTTTTAAAAACGCCCTATGACGGGGGGTCGGGAGACTTTTTATCTCTGTGTTTTTTTGCTTAGGCTGTCAATCGGGGTCGTGCATTTTTTCGGGCGGGGCTGTTTTTCTGTTTTTGCTGAATACACAAGAATCCCGGAGTCTCTCCGTCATGCTACATGAGGTTTGTTTTTGATTTTCAAATTGTCTGACTCTTTTAAAACTCCATCGTAAAACAATAATTGAACCACGAATTTTTTTGGGGACATCACCTCCTCGGTCTCATCAAAGGCCCCAAAACAATGCACCTTCGAGTTACCTTTTGTGTTCTTCCTTTCCCTCGTCTTTGTCATCCGGGAAAAATTAAAACTCTGCGCTTGTACGAGAGCGAGTTCCTTTTCCCCCTTTTCTTTCCCGCCCGTATAAGTCTTGGCTCAGATTTTTAAAGACGGCCCCCCAAGCTCCTCGCACCTCTCTATTACACCTTCAAAGGCACCCGAAAAAATTTTCTCTAAGGGGGCTTTCTTTCTCGTGTTTTCCCCAATTCCGCCCACGGGTGTTTTTGGTTACTTTTCCTGTAGTTTTTTATCTTCACAGTTTTTGTAGACATGACCCCGCTTCTTGGGGTTCACCGGCCGGCAGATTGGGTCCTCTTAAATTGGCCGTTGGGATTCCCTTCTGGGTGAACCTTGTCTAAAAATTCTCCCTCTCGTTCTTTAATTTAATATCTCTCTTTTCTTCACTGTTTTTGAAGTACTGCGAATTTTCGTTGTCCCATAGACAAGGGAACGAAGCCATTTTTTGCACGTCTGACTTCAATGATGACACCAAAACTTGATAAATAGCAGGATACTGGGGCCCCTCACCCACCTCGTCTGTCCTTGCGCTAACCGTCTCTAGCGACTTTAAATCGTTATCAAAATTTTCTTGGCCTTTGTAGCTGGACTGCCCAAACCATCCCCTTTTACAGGGACATCTTGACCACAGGAACGATGTGGTGGTGCCTGCTTGTAAACTCTCACAGGACAAAGGAAAAACAGCCCCCATCCCCCCACCTCTCCCTTTTTGGCGAGGGGGGCTTTTTGACCTCTCCTACCATTGATTCTGGTGTCCATCTGCCCCATCGTGCCCATACAAATAAATCCTGTACTTAAAAAGTTACGATTCAGGGCAAGATAATTACAAAAAAAAAATTCCTCTGGTCAGGAGACACAGGTCACCAAAACCGAAGATCGCAAGTTTATCAACTTTTGTTGACCCAAAGTTGATGGAGATGTCGTGACGGCTCGTGGCTGTACAGTGGTGGCTAGTAACGATATTTCACACTGAGGATCGACCTGCAACTGTAGACAGTGTCCTGCTGACTGAGGTGTAACGCGGGAGGCCTCGGGACCTCAACAATCAGGAGAAGAGCAGGTGTTAGCAACACCGTCCACGACGTACTACTGAGAACTGGACTGCAACATTCCACACGTCAACCTGTGCGGGAGAGAGAAAAGATAAGAGAAAACTAAGTGAAAGGCTTAATATTTTTTTTGTAGGAAAGATTTATTACAATGTTCATGTGAGATCTACAAAATAATCCTTGTGGTATGTGGTGAGGCTATGATGGTGATGTGGTGAGTCTATGATGGTGATGTGGTGAGTCTATGATGGTGATGTGGTGAGGCTATGATGGTGATGTGGTGAGGCTATGATGGTGATGTGGTGAGGCTATGATGGTGATGTGGTGAGTCTATGATGGTGATGTGGTGAGGCTATGATGGTGATGTGGTGAGGCTATGATGGTGATGTGGTGAGGCTATGATGGTGATGTGGTGAGTCTATGATGGTGATGTGGTGAGGCTATGATGGTGATGTGGTGACGCTAATGATGGTGATGTGGTGAGGCTATGATGGTGAGTGGTGAGGCTATGATGGTGATGTGGTGAGGCTATGATGGTGATGTGGTGAGGCTATGATGGTGATGTGGTGAGGCTATGATGGGATGTGGTGAGGCTATGATGGTGATGTGGTGACGCTATGATGGTGATGTGGTGAGGCTATGATGGTGATGTGGTGACGCTATGATGGTGATGTGGTGACGCTATGGTGATGTGGTGAGGCTATGATGGTGATGTGGGATGCTATGATGGTGATGTGGTGAGGCTATGATGGTGATGTGGTGACGCTATGATGGTGATGTGGTGACGCTATGATGGTGATGTGGTGACGCTATGGTGTGGTGACGCTATGATGGTGTAGTGACGTTATGATGGTGTGGTAACGCTATGAAGATGTGGTGACGCCATGATGGTGATGTGGTGACGTTATGATGGTGGTGTGGCGGTGATAGATATGATGGTGATGTGGTAGTGCTGTTGACCGTACGATAGGAAGACATACACGAGTTGGTGTGAAAGATGTGTGTGTGAGAGAGAGAGAGAGAGAGAGAGAGAGAGAGAGAGATTCATTAATCCCTGAGAGTCTTACAGCAGAAGATGGGATGAAGGTTCAAACTTCCATCCGCAAATCGTGGCCTCGGTCTTTGACCAGTCTGGCTGTTAGTGACGTCTCTCTCTCTCTCTCTCTCTCTCTCTCTCTCTCGAGAGAGAGAGAGAGAGAGAGAGAGAGAGAGAGAGAGAGTTGGAACTCATTCACCTGTACCGTTCGGAAATAAATAATACCAATTCTTTCTTCATTTTCTATAATGAAGTTCCATTATCCGTGTTGTGTCTGGTAGACCGTTACGTGAGAGAGAGAGAGAGAGAGAGAGAGAGAGAGAGAGAGAAGAGAGAGAGAGAGAGAGAGACAGAGAGAGAGACAGAGAGAGACAGAGAGAGACAGAGAAATGATAATGCTTACATTATTAATACTTAAACATAATTTTAATTAATTTTTTCAAGTTCCGGAAATAACCGGGGGGGGGGGGGTTAGAGTCAAGATCATTACCATGATTATTATTAATGCAATGTTGGTACCGTATTTTTCTGCTGAAAATCTTAGTAGTAACAGTAATAATAATTACAGTCATTTAATTAAAAAAAAAAGTAACGATTATACATGAATCTTTCGAGTCTCAATTTTGTACGTGATCCAATTTACTCTAGCCGGGGATCGAACCCCCGATATTATTTTAGCATGTCTCCCGAGAAGCTCGCTAAACTTCCGAGGTACCACAGTCCACTGGGCCATCAATGTTTCAAACATCAGGTGCCTGGTAGCATCTACGAGAGGCCTTAAGTAAATAACAATACTGAGAGTATCCGGGGACGCTACATGGGCATCTGGGCACGAAATAACGCGATATGGACTAATTTACACATATGATTCTCAGCGTTTGAGCACCACAGTGTTTGTGCTCCATGTGCACCTCACCACGTGTACCTCACCATGTGCACCTCACCATGTGCACCTCACCACGTGCACCTCACCACGTGCACCTCACCATGTGCACCTCACCACGTGTACCTCACCATGTGCACCTCACCATGTGCACCTCACCACGTGCACCTCACCACGTGCAGCTCACCATGTGCACCTCACCACGTGTACCTCACCATGTGCACCTCACCATGTGCACCTCACCACGTGCACCTCACCACGTGCAGCTCACCACGTGCACCTCATGTACACCTCACAACGTGCACCTCACCACGTGCACCTCACAATGTGCAGCTCACCACGTGCACCTCACCATGTACACCTCACCACGTGCACCTCACCACGTGCACCTCACAATGTGCAGCTCACCACGTGCACCTCACCACGTGCACCTCACCACGTGCACTACTCAGCTTGTAGGGAGCCATGTTGACAATAGATGGCAATGACTCAACATAAAATTCAATTAGAAACATTAACATCTCCATACAAAGCAGGTGAAATCGCAGATCTAGAGCGTGTACAGAGATCCTTTACTGCACGTATAAGTTCTGTCAAGCACCTTAACTACTGGGAACGCTTGGAAGCACTTGACTTGTACTCGTTGGAACGCAGGAGGGAGAGATATATCATAATCTACACTTGGAAAATCTTGGAAGGAATGGTCCCAAATCTGCACACAGAAATCACTCCCTACGAAAGTAAAAGACTGGGCAGGCGATGCAAAATGCCGCCAATAAAAAGTAGGGGCGCCGTTGGTACACTAAGAGAAAACACCATAAGTGTCCGGGGCCCAAAACTGTTCAACAGCCTCCCATCAAGCATTAGGGGAATTGCCAATAAACCCCTGGCTGCCTTCAAGAGAGAGCTGGACAGATACCTAAAGTCAGTGCCGGATCAGCCGGGCTGTGGCTCGTACGTTGGACTGCGTGCGGCCAGCAGTAACAGCCTAGTTGATCAGGCCCTGATCCATCGGGAGGCCTGGTCATGGACCGGGCCGCGGGGGCATTGATCCCCGGAATAACCTCCAGGTAACCTCCAGGTATGAGAGAAAATTAAAAATTTATTACAAATATTAGGAAAACCTCAAAAATATACTGATAAGCATCACAGAAAACGGTAACTTTACTAAAACGAAAACGCCGATATTTTGAGTCTCGGAAAAAACCGAAAACATTAAAAACCGCGAAAAAAAGCAAGACGAAAATGCCTTTACGGATCTTGGATAAAACTAGGGAATTAATTATTAACATTAGAGAAATGGAAGATGCATTTACAAACTGTGGGTAAAAAAAAATAATTAAGAATCCTTGAGTGTTTTAAATAAGAGGACCAAAAAAATGCAATTATTATTCTTGAAGAAAACGGGAAGTGGCGTTGTATCTGTGATCAGTTTAATACAGCAGCAGCAGAGCTGTATGACCCTTGTGGGTTTACCACCTAGTTCTGACTGTAATAACATTAATATTATAAGCAGTGTGGTTACAAACACTCAAGAATTAAACTTGAAGTGTAATTCTTACGCCAGTAGAAAGTGGGAAGAACATTCACGTGAAACAGTAACTAAAGACGATCAACACTTCACAACACAAGACAAAGGTAGACTCCAGGTAGGTAACCAGGAATTCAACGTTGGTTAAATTTACATCCATCATTCCTTCTTTCCCATCTGTC